AAGTCACAGGCGAGAGCGCAATTCCTGAAAAGGGGATGTCTGGCGGGAGCGGGGGTCTGAACTAAAGCGCAAGGAAATCTTACGTGGGAGCGCCGTTCGTGACTAAATTGTCAGGAAGCCCCAGACGGGAGGGGGGTCCTGACTAAATTGCGAGGAAGTCACAGGCGGGAGCGCTGATCCTGAGCAAATTGGGAGGACGTCTCAGGCGGGAGCGGGGGTCCTGAGTAAAGTTGGAGAAAGTCTTAGGCGGGAGCCGTTGTTGTTGTAGTCTGGGGGAGCAACAACGCAATTTGACCCGGACTAAATTGTGAGGAAGTTTCAAGCGGGAGCGCCGTTCCTGAGTAAATTAAGAGGAAGTCTCAGACGGGAGGGGCGGGTCCTGAGCAAACTTGGAGGAAGTCTCAGGCGGGAGCCGTTGTTGTTGTAGTCCGGGGGGCCAGGGGCACAGTTTGACCAGAAAGACTTTCCCTGCCGAAAAACAGGGTGCGAGCGTCGAGGGGCACACTTCAACTGAGAACAAAACAAGATGTACCGATGAAGGGGGATCAACAATAATTATTCTCCAGAAATGAGAGCTCAACAACGCAACAAGCCACGAATTCCTTATTCGGCCACGCACCAGGGGACAATGAATGACCGTTCGGCCCCCTCACTTTGACAGATACACACGTACTAGAACCACGCAAGCGCTACGCGCGCGCGCTTAGTCTGAGTCGCAGCTAAGCCACGGCTCTCCTTTTCGCTCGTGTCATGGGCGGCACTGCGAATCTCCCCACATGTGGGTTTGGCGGAGCCTCCGTCCGCCTCGGCCACCTCTTGTCCTCGTCCCTCTTGTCTTCGCCGATGCTGTGGTCCTCCTCTTCCTCCTCCTCTTCCTCCTCTTCCTTTTTCGCCTCCTCCTCCTCCTCCTCCTCGTCCTCCCGCCTCCTCCTCCCGCCTTCCATGGTCTTCCATTTCCCAATCACTGCTCCCTTTTTGCTCCGCTGTGGTCCTCCTCCTCCTCCCGCCTCCTCCTCCTCCCGCCTCATCCTCCTCATCCTCCTCCTCCTCCTCCTCCTCCTCCTCCTCCTCCTCCTCCTATTCCTCCTCGTCCTCCTCCTCCTCCTCCGCTCCTCCTCCTCCTCCTCCTCCCCCGCCTCCTCCGACCGCTTCATCCTACTGCACTTCCCTGCTTCCTCCGCCACGATATCATCATCTCTCCTTATTTGTCTCCTTTTCCTTGTCTTCTCCCTCGTCCCTCCCCTCCTCCTCCTCCTCCTCCTCCTCCTCCTCCCTTTGCCTCCTCCACCTCCCCTCCTCCTCCACCTCCTCCTCCTCCGACCTCCTCCTCCTCGCCTCATCAATCATCATCATCATCCATCATCATCATCATCATCATCATCATCATCATCATCATCATCATCATCATCATCATCATCATCCAAATCACATCTCATCATCATCGCATCACTATCCTCGTCCTCCTCCTCATCCGCATCCTCTCCTCATCCTCATCATCTCATCATCATATCATCATCTCATATTCATCAGATTCATCATCATCACCACCACCACCATCATCATCATCATCAGCAGCAGCATCACCACCACACCAGCAGCAGCACAGCATCATCATCATCATCATCATCATCAGCCATCATCATCAGCATCATCATCATCATCGCATCATCATCATCATCACATCATCATCGCATCATCAGCATCATCATCATCATCATCATCTCCCCCTCCCTGCCCTCCCCCTTCCCCTCCCCTCCCTCTCCCCCTCTCCCTCCCCTCCTCCTCCTCCTCCTCATCCTCCTCCTCCTCCTCCTCCCTCCTCCTCCCCCTCCTCATCCTCAGCAGAAGCAGCAGCAGCAGCATCACTATCATCCTTCCGCCTCTTCCTTCTCCCTCCCCCTCTTTCTCCTCATCTTTCCAGTCCTCATCCTGATCATGTGACATGCCTTCTCCTCCCCCTCCCTCATCCCTTCCTCCTCCTCCTCCCCCACCCTCCATCAGAAGCCGTCGCACGCCTCGAAGAGGGGGAGGGACGAGGCACGAACGTCGAGTTTCAAGGTTTGTCGGAATTTGATCCTCCAGGAGGAGCCCTGAAGGCCGAAAACGTAGCCTCGGACTTCGAGAAGAGTCGGCGCAAAGCGGCGCGGCCGCCTAATGCTCCCTCCTCGCGTCACGACGTGAAATTTCGCCAAAGTCTACACATCGATATATATATATGTATATATATATATATACATACATACACATATATATATATATATATATATGTGTATATATACACGCATGTATAGACCAACATCCATGCATGTGTATACACATATATACATACATACATAGATATAATGCATGTGTGGATAGACGTATACATGTGTACATGATATGTATAACACGTATATGCACATTGTACACCCCTCTTCCTATATGTTTACAAGCCGGGAGGGTGGGAAAACCCCCCACCCACCCCACCCCACAAAACCGGACCCCCAGGATCCGGGGTTTCCAAGCCCCCCGGACACCCTTGTCAAAGGTCCCCTGGCTCGTCCTGGACCTCCCAGGGCGCTGAGCCAGTGATCAGGAGAGGCCGAAGAAATACCCAAGACAACCCAAGAGCGCTCCAAGAAGGACCCAGATAGTTCCCAGGGGCCCCCAAGACGGCCCAGGAGGCCCTCAACAGGACTCCCAGGACGCAAAAAGCACGCCTTTTAATTCCCTTTCGGGAAACGTGCATTTTCAGCACATTCGCTGCTCGGGGCTTAGAAATGCTTGAAACACCCAAAAAGACCTCCGGCATCGCCCCATGACGACCGAAGAGACCCCCAAGAGAGCCTCTCGACGGCCTGGATGGCCTCAAGACTGCCCAAAGAAGCCCCGACTTGGCCAAAAAGAAGCCCAACAGGCCCTCACAAGGCCCCGAAGAAAAGCCCAATGAGGCCATGGGAGGCTCCCAAAAAGGGCATGGGAGGCCACCAGGAGGGCCCAAGTAGCCCCCTAAAGTCCCCAGAGGGCCCAAGCTCCCCAACACGGCCCAAGATGGCCTCAGGACGGCTCCAGAAGGCCCCGAGCCGGCCCACCAGGAGGGCCCACACAGCGTTTTCCACCAAACTGACCCGAATCCCGGGTTCGCAACCACATTTCCCAAAAATCTGTTGCGACCCCAGGATCCTGTGCATTCCCCAAGAATTGCTAACGTTCGCGTGCCGCGCAGCGACCCGCTGCAACATGACATCCTCGGCTCGGCATTGTTTTGTACTTTGCGGCAGTGCTTGACATTGCGTCGGTTCGCTTGGCATTCAATCGCACGGCTCGCCATTCCTTCGCATGGCGCACTGGGGCACCTGAGCCGCGAGCGGGCCATCGCGCGGGCCTACGAAAGCGTTTTCTCGTCATTCACTGCCAGACATGCCGCATGAATCGGCACCCGTTGGCTCACGTTTCTCGGTGCCCGCATTCGCCGCATCCCTCATGTCTGTATTCAGTTTGTCTGGTCGTGGCCAAACCCTGCCTGCAGCTGCATTTTCCATAACACAACTGCAGCAGTCCAATCGGGCCCCGCATGTCCTGTGCCAGTCAGCGGGGGGCACAATCGCGGTCGGCCCTCAAACAAAATCTCTTGCAATGCACCCGTTGCGAGGAACTTCGCGAACGAAACCACTTCAGCAATGGCCAGCTGCACCCATCCACTCGGACCTGCAAGTCCTGTGCCACTCGGCGGGTGGACGGTCGCCCAAAGCCAGACCTCCTCTCTGCACGCGCTGCGGAGAGCTCCGAGACAAGACCCACGTCGGCGCCGGCCAACTCAAAACACACAGCACGACGCGGGCTTGCAGCGCGCGCACCGCGCCCAGTGGCAACTGCCCCACGCCCCCAGGGTGCCAATCCCCATCGCTAGGGCTCCGGGACTGCATCTGTAGTCACTGCGGCGTCAACTGGTTCTCCACAGAAAACGCGGGATTATGTTGTCCGTTCGGTAAGCACGCGATTGAGTTCACCAGGTATTTCTAGGAGCCTGGGCCAGCCCTTCTCCAACTCTACCGACGCGAAGGTTTCAACTCCCACGTCCGGGCATACAACGACCGTTTCGGACCCGCCGCGCACGACATTCAGTCCAGTACTTCGGAGCGGGAAACACATTTCTCCCCACACAAGCCGCCCTTCATGAAAATCCAAGGGACGATGTATTGGAAAACGTGGACCGCCGAGGGATCCAATTCGGTTCATTCAGTACATTGTCGTTGGCCCGCAGTCCCAGTCGCACACGGAAGCCCGTTTGCAACTCTATCCACAAATTGTCCGTGCCCTGGAACGTCACGTGCTCAACGCGCACCCGTACATGACGGCTACATAAGCTCACCACTCCCACCACGTCGCGCTGCCTTGACAGAGTTCTACAGTTCGACAGGGACGAAGGCACGCAGGAAGTTGCTGCTATACTCGATTCCGCTGGTGGCGTTCGCACGTCTCCTCGATCAGTGTTCTTCCGTCTTCACAAGTACGAGCAGTATGATTCCATACCTCCACCCCAGTGAGCTCTACGAGCCAGTTTCCTACCCGTTTGGGAGCCGACAACTCTCCAAGGCCAATAGGGACGGCGCGAACGACAAACAGATGCAAGGCCTCAAGGACCAAGGCGCATGGCGCGAAGCGCCAATGCAATATTGCGTATAAATACATACACATGTATGTGTGTGTATGTATGTATGTATGTATGTATGTATGTATGTATGTATGTATGTATGTGTGTGTATGTATGCATGCATGCATGCATGTATGTATGTATGTATGTGTGTATGTATGTATGTATGTGTGTATATATATACATACAAAGAAATACACATACACACATACATACATACATGCACTTGTACATACATACATACGTGCGTACATACATACATACATACATGCATACATACATACATACATGCATACATACATACATACATACATCCATACATGCATGCATGCATGCATACATACATACATGCGGTGCCCTCCGAGTCCTGAGCGGTCCGCCCTCCCCGCCGCAGGGCACCTGCCTCCCAGCATCGCTCCAGCCCCAGACCTTCTCGGTTCTTGGCGGGTTGCGCCCAAAACACCTGGCGCCTCGAAACAAATCTACCTCGAGACGGAAGGCTGTCGCCGTTGCCGGCATCTCGGGGCCCTTGCCGGGCCTCGGGGCCATCGAATCGAATAACCTCCTCCTCCTCCTCCTCCTCCTCCTCTCCTCCTCCTCCTCCTCCTCCTCTCCTCTCCTCCTCTCCTCCTCCTCCTCTCCTCCTCCTCCTCCTCCTCCTCCTCCTCCTCCTCCTCCTCCTCCCTTCCTCCTCCTCTTCCTCCTCCTCCTCCACCTCCTCCTCCTCCTCCTCCTCCGCCTCCTCCTCCTCCTCCTCTCTCCTCCTCCTCCTCCTCCTCCTCCTTATCCTCCTCCCGTGCCTCCTCCTCCTCCTCCTCCTCCTCCTCCTCCTCCTCCTCCTCCTCCTCCTCCTCCTCCTGCCCCCTCTTCCTGCCTCCTCCTCCTCCTCCTCCTCCTCCTCCCCTCCTCCTCCTCCTCCTCCTCCTCCTCCTCCTCCTCCTCCTCCTCCGCCTCCTCCCCTCCTCATCTCATCCTCTCCTCCTCATCCTCATCCTCCTCCTCCTCCTCCTCCCTCCTCCTCCTCCTCCTCCTCCTCCTCCTCCTCCTCCTCCCTCCTCCTCCTCCTCCTCCTCCTCCTCCTCCTCCTCCCTCCTCCTCCTCCTCTCCTCCCTCGCCTGCTCCTGCTCCTGCTCCTCCTCCTCTCCTCCTCCTCCTCCTCCTCCTCCTCCTCTCCTCCTCCTCCTCCTCCTCCTGCTCCTCCTCCTCCTCCTCCTCCTCCTCCCTCCTCCTCCTCCTCCTCCTCCTGCTCCTCCTGCTCCTCCTCTCCTCCTCCTCCTCCTCCTCCTCCTCCTCCTCCTCCTCCTCCTCCTCCTCCTCCTCCTCCTCCTCCTCCTCCTCCTCCTCCTCCTACTCCTCCGTCGAGGAAAAACGACTCGGGATGAGAAAGCCGTGCCCAGGAAAGCGGCCGAGAGGTCGAGGGCGCGGCTCCCGAACAGTCGGGGCGCTGGAGGTTGGGCGGTTCGTTTCCATCGGTTCTCGGCGGTGTTCCAGCCTCGGGGTGCGTTCCATCGGAGGGCACCAACAATGCACCCACCACACTTAAGTCGGGCCTGTCCTCCTACAGGGGGGCGTTGGACGAAGAGTAAAAAATAGTCAAAAAATGCCCCAACGTGGACAAACAAATACTCGACGAATCGTCCCCAGACTAGTTGACTATGTTTGAAGATTCCTCCTGTAGAGGGACAGGCCCGACTGAAAACTATACACCTACACCGATGCTGGCCAGGCCGATCCCAGGCCCAGGATCGGTGCACGTGCACCCTGCCCAAGGCACGAGGGCGCATGCACCGACGCCAAAGGCCCAGGGTGATCCTGCCCCGGATCGGTGCGGGTGTACAGTGTATAGTCGAGGCGTTGACCTAAGGAACCCCAAATAAGGAACGAGGCCCGTATTTTCCATCAGTTGAACTTCGATTTCGTATCGAAAACCTAAGGAAAAACCCAAGGCAAGCCGCGAAACAATTAAGGAACACGGAGCCCCTCCCCAACGAAAAGGGTTCCTTCTTCAGCGCCCCGACTGTATAATTGGTGCCCTCCGATTCCAGCAGCTGCGCCTCGCCGGGGGGCGTTCCGGGGGTGCCCGTACGGTCCCGAACGGCCGCTGGAGGCCCGACGTCTGGCGCGAAAGTCTGACATGCTCGCGTCGCGAAAAAAACGCGACGGGATGATTTTTCGGGTCGGGCGAAAGGGGGGGATAGCAAAGGGGGGGGTTGAGAATCAGCTCACGTAGCTGATTTTCCCGGCGCCTCCCGGCGCCGGGAGCGGCCATGTAGCGAGGAATTGGCCCCTCGGTGAGGCCGAAACCAGCTGCATGCAGCAAATTTCGTAACCCCCCCTTTCGCCCGACCCGATTTTTTGTATGCTTCTGGCCTCCTGGAGCTCGCGCCGGGTCCCAGGACCGTCAAAAGACGGCGCGGGATGAAACACTGGTCCTGGGGGAAGGATCGGGACTTTGGGATACATGTTGGGGCCCCCGCATTGAAAAAGTCCAAACAAAAAAGACATATCAGGAAGCTGATGCTTAATCACACTGACGCGGCATTGGCCCCACTGGCCGACCTTCCCACCTAGGTGGGGATACATGATCCTATGATCCGGGGTCGATGGTTCACAGGTCCCCCCCCCGATGGGATGGCCCCAGTGTTCTACAGGCAACACCCCCAGATGGGATGGGGGACGACGACGACGACGACGACGACGACGACGACGACGACGACGACGACGACGCCGACACCGACGCCGACGACGACGACGACGACGACGCCGACGCCGACGCCGACTTCGACGCCGACCCCGACCACGACGCCGAAAGACGACGACGATGATGACGACGACGACGAAGGCGCCGCCGACGACGACGACGACGACGACGACGACGACGACGACGACCACGACAACGACGACGACGACGACGACGACGACGACGACGACGACGACGACGACGACGACGACGACGACTGCGACTGCGACGACGTCCACACCCCACCACGCCACGCGCACATGGCCACGACTGGGGGGCCGGGCGGGGGGGGGAGGGCGATCCCATTAGCATCGGAGGGGGGGACTGGATCCCTGGATCATCTATACCTGTTCCGTCGGGTTTCGCATGGCCGACCCCCACCTCGACGGGTGGGCTGGTGGGACTGAGGCATCATGGCCCAGAGGTAATGGGGACAGGTTCCCTGAGTTCCGACGTCTCGACAGACTTGCAGCATGGTAAAAACTCTCTTCCGAAGCCTTGGACCTCTTCTTCCTGCGCCACTGTCCGAGCCGGATCGATATGTGAGAACAAGTCGAGACGCCGGGATCTGAGGATCGCTCGGGGCTGAGCGGTCCACGCGGTGCATGGAAGCAGTACGCAAGCCCGTCCCGAAGACACCCGGCGCGGAAAAGTGGAGGCGCAAGAATCTCAGAGCTGGACGATGCCAAGCCTCCTGACCAGGTGCGCGGCGAGGCAGCCGCTCAGGCCCCCGCCGACCACGTACACGTGGCGGCCGCACGAGTCGCTCTCGCACTCCTGGGGGAACCAAATGATGCGCTCACCAGAGGAGGTCCCTCGACGGGTGCGGCAGGAGGTAGCAGGGATCGAGTAGGAGATCGACTGCAGAATTGCTTTACCCTGGAATTGCTTGCCTTGTCGAATCTACAAGACAATACGTATAGTGTATAGTGGTCGTACGCAAATAACCGTGAAATCGATGTCGGTTTTGGGGTTCGTGTCGTGCGTGCCGTGCGTGCGTGCGGGCGAGGCGAAGCTGCGTGGGCGGGCGAGAGGAAATCCTCCTGTGGCTGGGCCGCGGCCGGACCAAATGTAACTCCTCCGGCGGCCAGTGCCCCGCGGTGTCCCGCCGGTGTCCCGAAATCCTCCCGTGGATGGGCCGCGGCCGGACCAAATGTAACTCCTCCGGCGGCCGGTGCCCCGGTGTCCCGCTGGTGTCCCGCTGGTGTCCCGCCGGTGTCCCGCTGGTGTCCCGTGGTGTCCCGTTGAGTGAGATCGATAGTGATATCGTTAGTGAGAACGATGTGGTGTCCCGAGGTGTCCCGTGGTGTCTCGTGGTGTCCTATGGTGTCCCGTTGAGTGAGATCGATCGTGAGATCGATAGTGAGACCGATGGTGAGATCGAGAGATGTCCCGCAGTGTCCCGTGGTGTCCCGTGGTGGCCCGTGGTGTCCCGTGGTGTCCTGTTGAGTGAGATCGATAGTGAGATCGATAGTGAGATCGACAAGTGTCCCGTGGTGTCCCGTGGTGTCCCGTTGAGTGAGATCGACAGTGAGATCGATTGAGTCAGATGTTGGTTCCCCCCCTTCTTCCCCCCCCACTACCTCCTTATCACCCGAAGGGTGGTCGTATAGGTATAATAACGTTGTGCGTACTGATGGGTAGATCCGACGAGAATTTCAAGTTTGGGGTACATCAATTATGCAGTCGATCTCCTACTCGAAGGGAGGGGCCGCCTGTTACCCCTCTGCTCGCGCTGCTGCTGCTGCCTCTCACTGCACTGCACACCTTCGCCCGGCTGCCCTCCAGGGGCTCACGGGGGCCCCAACACAGTGCCCTGGCCTGCACGGTTTCCCCCGGGGCCGTAGGCGACCCGAGAAGAGGGAGGAGGAGGAGGAGGAGAAGGAGGAGGAGGAGGAGAAGGAGGAGGAGGAGGAGGAGGGAGGAGGCGGAGGAGGAGGAGGAGAAGGAGGAGGACGGGTCGCCTAAGCCCTTCGGAGGAACTCTCCACCCTGGCCCTTGTCGGTCCGTGGACGATGGCCCCTCAGCCTCCGCTTCCGGCGGTGCTGCTGGATAGCCGACGAACAACATCCATGGACCCCCTTTAGAGGGTCGAAGACCCACCCCCAGAATGATCACCCCGGCACGCGGAGCCGTTCTGCAAACGCGCCCACAAAAGGAATCGAACAGGGCAGGGCTGCTTAGTCAACGCCCAGGGCCGTTCGTACACGCCAATTGTCGGGTCCAGGTGGGTTTTCCTCCCTTGACCTTTGTTACCCATCGCTCCTGGACCGTTTTCGGTGGTCTTCGGACGGTCTTCTGCCGGCCTTTGGCGTTTCTGGCGGGCACTGGCGGGCTCCAGCGGTCTTCGGCGCGAAAGCTGGATGGCTGCGTTCAACAAGGGGTAGATCATCGAACACCACCGATGCCGATGCCGCTACTCGGCTACCCGCAAAGGCGACACTTGGCAAGAATGACCCTGGGTGCGCGGCATAAGGAGACCGAGGGGTGGCCAAGCCCGGGCGCGCAAGCCGCTGCTACCGCCCCGCGTGCAGCTATCCGGGGAGCCTCCTTGGGTCCGCACGAAAGGTCGCTCCGGCGAAAGGCCACTCTTACGCGCTGTCGAAGCAGGGTGGGAGCGAGGTTCGAACTTCGAGCTGTCGAAGTTCCTCTGGCCCCCTGGAGCGTTCTCGTCGCCACTGTCCGTCGAGATTCTGGTCGGAACGCACCCCAGGCGAAAGGTCACTCTGGCGAAAGGTCGCTCCGACGAAAGGCCACGCGCAGTCGAGCCACTCCCCGGACCTCTCCTGGGCTGCGTTCTGGCCAGAATTTCGAGGCGGCGCGGTGCGCTGCGCATACTTGTCGGCTGCAAGGGCCGAATGCACCGCACCCTTCCACGGTCGAGGATCGACGACGCCTCCGGAGACGCCAGATGCCATACGGTGCACAGAAATCGTCCGCGGATGATGGCCCCGAGGTTCGGTGAGGGCCCCCGAAAGCCGGAAATGGCCAAGCACCGGGGAGACCAAACGGTACCGATACCGCGACTCCTCGGGCCCCTCCTGGGGTGCCAGAGCTCCGAGGCGCATCCTGTCAAAGCGGCGGGAACCGCCCAGGAGGCCCCAAAAAAGGCGACAAGAGGGAGGGGTAGCAGTATCGGTACCGTGTCTCTTTCTGACAGACCTACGCCCCCGAACGTTGCCCGCCTGGAAATGAGCACCAGCACCAACACACAAGGGGTTGCCTCCACAGGGGGAAGATGATCCTAGATTTCGGTGCTGGTGGTAATTCCCTACCTAGGCTCTGCCTAGAAGGGTTCTTACTGTGTTAGCTTAAAGGGCTGGGCAATGGGGCTCGCCCTGGGCGGTTCCCCCGGCATCCGCCCGGCGGTTCCCCCAGGATCCCCCCGCGCCCCCTGGGGGAGCTTAGCTTAGATTAGCTTCGCTTAGCTTAGCTAAGCTTAGCTTAACTTAGCTTAGCTAGCTTAGCTTAGCTTAGTGTTGCTTATCACATCTTAGTTTAGCTTAGCTCCTAGCCCAGCCTAGCCTAGCCTAGCCTAGCCTAGCTTAGCTTAGCTTAACTTAGCCTAGCTTATATCATAGTTGTTTAGCTTAGTTTAGCTTGGCTTAGTTTACCCTAGCTTAGCTTAGCTTAGCCTAGCTTAGCTCAGTTTATCTCATCTTAGCTTAGCTTAACTTAGCGTTAGCTTAGCTTAGCCTAGCCTAGTTTAGCTTAGCTTAGCTTGGCTTAGCTTAGTTTAGCTTAGCTTATCTCATCATAGCTTAGTTTAGCTTAGCTTAGCTTAGCTTATCTCACCTTACCTTAGCTTAGCTTAGCTGATGCTGCTTTCCTAGGGGTTCCAACTCCTAGGTAGGGTCGCACTGGGATAATATTTGGGTCACCTCGGCAACCAGAATATTACCACCATGACCGAGATCGGGATCTTCTTCCCTCGGTGGAGACATACCGCTGATATTCGTGTTGGTGTCAACCTCTAGGCCTGCGACCCTTGGTTTTCAGGTCATACCTCAGCTCCCCAATGGCCGTTCGGAAGGTTCCGGGGACCCCCGGAACGCTCTCGGCAAGGCGCAGCTGCTGGAGAGCATCTCCATGCTAGAAAGCCGCCGAGGACCAGCGAAAACGCTCGAAGAACGCCCCCCCTTTACGGCATCGGCAATCCAGATTGCATCAACAAAAAGGGGTCTGATTTGGAGAGGGGTCTCATTTGACCTGTCCTCGAGGGTTCCAGGTGGGGTCTGGGCAAGAGGCCGCCCTTGCATGGCTGGCCTGGGGGGGTTATAAAACGCCTACCTGGGAGGGTTGCGGCCCCTCCCTGGCATTCTAAAATGGGACACACAAGGACTCAAAAGTACGGTGCGTCCTCCTTGGAGGCGTGCCTTCGACCTGAACATACAGCACAACCATATTGTAGTATGAGACGCCTCCTAGATGGGGTCCGAGTAGAGAGGGGGTCCGAGGATTGCACCGAATCCGCGATGCGTCGGCGATGTATTGGCGATGCATTGGCGATGCATTGGCAATGCATCGGCGACGTCGGCGTGGAGAAGATCGGGCTCCAAATCAAGCCGCATCGCCGATGCATAGGCGATGCGACGCGATCCTCCGACCCCATCTACTCGGACCCCATCTGGGAGGCCTAGATGACTACCTACCAGACCACCCCAACCCAACCCGAGGACCCAGGTTTGACCCGAGTTTCGGGCTGGGGGGGTACGGATTCCCTTTCAGTGCTCCTCGACCCCCCCCCCCCCACTGGACATGGAGGGCCAACTGAGGCCTTCGGATCGGGTTGGGGGGGGGGGGGCCTGATCCTCGGCGCGGGCCGCGCTCTCCTCCTCGGAGGTGCCTGACCCTCGGGCGGAGGAGGAGGAGGAGGAGGAGGAGGAGGAGGAGGGAGGAGGAGGAGGGCGGAGGAGGAGGGCGGAGGAGGAGGCGGAGAGGAGGGGGGAGGAGGAGGAGGAGGAGGGGAGGAGGAGGGAGGAGGAGAGGAGGAGGAGGAGGAGGAGGAGGGCGGAGGAGGGCGCAGGATGAGGAGGGCGGAGGAGGATCCTCGGCGCGGGCCGCGCTCCGCCGTTGGCGCTGCCGCCCGCAGGGCAGCGCCAGCGCGGCGGGCAGCGCCGCCCTCGCGCCGCGCAGGCGCCAGGCCGCCCCGCGGCAGCCGCCGGGCATCCCGCCGCGGGAGGCCGCGCGGGGCCCCCGCGGGAGGCCGCCACGGGGGGGGAGCCCGTCGGAGGGCCCTCGCGGGGGCCCGTCGGGGGGGCCCTCGCGGAGGCCGTCGTGGAGGCCTTCGCGGAGGCCGTCGCGGAGGCCGTCGCGGAGGCCGTCGTGGGGGCCTTCGCGGAAGCCGTCGCGGGGGCCTTCGCGGAGGCCCGCGCGCCGCCGGGCGCCCCGCCGCGCGGGCGGGCGGGCGGGCCGCCCTCGCGGGCCGCGCGTGGCGCGCGAGCCAGGCTGCTGCGGTCAGGTCGGGCACGCCCCCCTACAGGGAGGATCTTGAACGAAAAATCAGAAATACTCGAAACAGATTCATGGATAGCCGAAAAATACTCGAAGCCTCGTCCCCAGACTATGTTTTGATTATTTTTCCCAACCATCCTGTGGTGTTGGGTCCTCGTTTTGAAGAGACGGTGCCCCGCGTCTCCTTCCTCCTTCCTCCTCCTCCGCCTCCTCTCCTCCCCCTCTTCCCTGCGTTTCACCCACCCAGTACAGCGTTTCGAAACCCCATAGGAGCTCCACCGAAGGCCCCATGGCTGCCGTCCGCATGCGTCCCGCACACCCATTTCGGCACACCCCTCACACGTTTCGTGGCCCCACAGGGAGCTCCACCGAAGGCCCCAGGCTGCCGTCCGCATGCGTCCCGCACACCCATTTCGGCACACCCCTCACACGTTTCGTGGCCCCATAGGGAGCTCCACCGAAGGCCCCAGTGCTGCCGTCCGCATGCGTCCCGCACACCCATTTCGGCACACCCCTCACACGTTTCGTGGCCCCACAGGGAGCTCCACCGAAGGCCCCATGGCTGCCGTCCGCATGCGTCCCGCACACCCATTTCGGCACACCCCTCACACGTTTCGTGGCCCCACAGGGAGCTCCACCGAAGGCCCCAGTGCTGCCGTCCGCATGCGTCCCGCACACCCATTTCGGCACACCCCTCACACGTTTCGTGGCCCCATAGGGAGCTCCACCGAAGGCCCCATGGCTGCCGTCCGCATGCGTCCCGTCGGCATGGCAGGGAGCTCCACCGAAGGCCCCACACCGCATGCGTTTCGGCACACCCCTCACACGTTTCGTCGCTGGCCCAGCCGTCCGCAGCGGATTTCGGCACACCCCTCACACCGTGGCCCCAAGAGCCACCATGGCTGCCGTCCGCATGCGTCCCGCACACCCATTTCGGCACACCCCTCACACGTTTCGTGGCCCCACAGGGAGCTCCACCGAAGGCCCCAGTGCTGCCGTCCGCATGCGTCCCGCACACCCATTTCGGCACACCCCTCACACGTTTCGTGGCCCCATAGGGAGCTCCACCGAAGGCCCCATGGCTGCCGTCCGCATGCGTCCCGCACACCCATTTCGGCACACCCCTCACACGTTTCGTGGCCCCACAGGGAGCTCCACCGAAGGCCCCAGTGCTGCCGTCCGCATGCGTCCCGCACACCCATTTCGGCACACCCCTCACACGTTTCGTGGCCCCACAGGGAGCTCCACCGAAGGCCCCAGTGCTGCCGTCCGCATGCGTCCCGCACACCACATTTCGGCACACCCCTCACACGTTTCGTGGCCCCATAGGGAGCTCCACCGAAGGCCCCATGGCTGCCGTCCGCATGCGTCCCGCGCACCCATTTCGGCACACCCCTCACACGTTTCGTGGCCCCACAGGGAGCTCCACCGAAGGCCCCAGTGCTGCCGTCCGCATGCGTCCCGCACACCCATTTCGGCACACCCCTCACACGTTTCGTGGCCCCATAGGGAGCTCCACCGAAGGCCCCATGGCTGCCGTCCGCATGCGTCCCGCACACCCATTTCGGCACACCCCTCACACGTTTCGTGGCCCCACAGGGAGCTCCACCGAAGGCCCCAGTGCTGCCGTCCGCATGCGTCCCGCACACCAGGTGTGTGGCGTGCCGACATGGGCGTCGCGGCGCGCGGGCGCTGCCGTCGGGGTTCCCAGGGAAGCCCCCTGCAGAGGCGACGCTCAGAGTCACGAGTACCGAGAGTCACGCAGACCCAAACTGTTCACAGTCGTATACATACATTTACACTGGGCGTATCCATGCACGCATTCATGCGAATAGAATCAATCGCGCGCAGATTCATTCATAATCAGACTCGCTCGCGATCCGACTCGCACGCGCTCAAGCTTTCATATTCGGACCTATCGTCTTCGTTCGTGTTGTGTACACTGCCACGCATTTCGGCACACCCCTCATGCGGCTCGCGGCCCCATAGGGGGCGCCACCGAAGAAGATATTCACAATTGCGGTACTCTCAACTGCATATGGTTGGGTCCTTCGCCAGGCTAATTCAATATTCCTCCTGTAGAGGGACAGGCCCGACTTAACGCTACGGTGTGGGCACGGGTGCGGCCCACCCGCATAGGACACCGCTGCTCAGGGTCAGGAAACTCAGACGGTAGAAAAAGGGCTTCACTCCAAGCGCTTTTGTTGCGCAGTAGTCCATGTCTATGTATACGAACAGTCGACGAGGCAGAGAAACTCAAAGGAAACACCCAGGGTCCGGTCCAAAGTACTGATACTCTTCAACGACATCTGGAGACTATAAACGTGAACCTTTCCTCGAGATTTCTGATGGGTGTGATGATGACGCACGATCAGGATGCAAGAGCCTTGGAAGGCCACATCGACACTTTGCGAGAGGGGCGCGGCCAGCGAAAGCGGCCAAGGATGGGCCGAAGGGGAAGGATGCAAGGATGACCTTGGAAAGCCGTTCATCATAACTATGCGGGTTGGCTGCACGGTCAAACCTGATTCCAAGGATGCGCGGTAAGGATGCAAGCCCATTGGACGCCCATGCCGAAGCTTTTCGAGCGCGGCTGGCCATCGACATTAGTTCAGGATGGACCGAAGATGGCCAAAGAGGCAAGGATGCAAGAATACCCTTGGAAAGTCGACAATCCTTACTACTTACGCACGACGAGAGATTTGCCTCTAGAGGTGAAAAAGGCGTTACTTAGTTCGCGATACAACATCGGCGCCGCCGAACGTACGGCATCTGGACGGACTGTTTGCAGCAAACGGGCAGAGAGATATGTTTTCATGTTGAGTTGGGCCCGCGCGCGCGGAAAGTTCATGGGAGTGCGGGTCCGGGCGGGTTGCGGTTGCGGGGTCCGCGGATCCGATTTCTTCTCGTTCCCCGTTTCAAGTCCATTATATACTTTTGAAGCGGGGTAAACATGGGATCAGTGTGAAAAATTATCCTGGCGAAGGTCCCAACCATATGCAGTTGTGAGTGCCGTAATTGTGAAGATCTGCTTCGGTGAAGCTCCCTATGGGGCCACGAAGCGCTGCACTGGGCGGGGGGGAACGCTGTACTGTGTGGGTGCTGTGCCGAATTGGGCTTCCAGGACGCATGCGGACGGTCCCACTGAGGGCTTCGGTGGAGCTCCCTATGGGGCCACGAAGCGTTCTACTGAGTAAGTGAAAATGCCAAATTGGGTTTCTGGGACGCATGCGGACGGTCCCACTGGGGGCTTCGGTGGAGCCCCCTATGGGGCCACGAAACGCTGCACTGCGCGGGTGAAAATGCCAAATTTAAATTTCCCGGACGCATACGGACGGTGGGGTGGAAATGCCAAATTGGGCTTCCGGGACGCATGCGGACGGTCCCACTGGGGGCTTCGGTGGAGCTCCCTATGGGGCCACGAAACGCTGTACTGGCTGTGCGGGACGCATGCGGACGGTAGCGCTGGGACCTTCGGTGGGGCTCCCTATGGGGCCACGCAGCGCTGTACTGGACGTGCGGGACGCATGCGGACGGTAGCACTGGGACCTTCGGTGGGGCTCCCTATGGGGCCACGAAACGCTGCACTGGGTGGGTGAAACGCAGGCAGGAGGGGGAGGAGGGCCACGAAACGCTGTACTGGGTGTGCGGGACGCATGCGGACGGTAGCACTGGGACCTTCGGTGGAGCTCCCTATGGGGCCACGAAGCGCTGTACTGGGTGTGCGGGACGCATGCGGACGGTAGCACTGGGACCTTCGGTGGGGCTCCCTATGGGGCCACGAAACGCTGTACTGGGTGTGCGGGACGCATGCGGACGGTAGCACTGGGACCTTCGGTGGGGCTCCCTTTGGGGCCACGAAGTGCTGTGCTGGGTGTGTGAAACGCAGAGAGGAGGGGGAGGAGGGCCACGAAACGCTGTGCTGGGTGTGCGGGACGCATGCGGACGGTAGCACTGGGACCTTCGGTGGGGCTCCCTATGGGGCCACGAAACGCTGTACTGGGTGTGCGGGACGCATGCGGACGGTAGTACTGGGACCTTCGGTGGGGCTCCCTATGGGGCCACGAAGCGCTGTACTGGGTGTGCGGGACGCATGCGGGCGGTAGCACTGGGACCTTCGGTGGGGCTCCCTATGGGGCCACGAAACGTTGTACTGGGTGGGTGAAACGCAGGCAGGAGGGGGAGGAGGGCCACGAAACGCTGTACTGGGTGTGCGGGACGCATGCGGACGGTAGCACGAGGAGGGGGCAGATGAGGAGAGGAGAACGCAGGGCGACGTCTCTTCAAAACGAGGACACAACACCACAGGATGGTTGGGAAAAAGACTGGACATCGGGTCCACAACATCCGAAATCGGATCCGTGCGGGCGGAAATCAGACGCACAGAATAATAAAACAACACCGCAAAATTGGATCCGCGCAAACGTCATTAGATTCGACGGCGGTTATCTCCTACGCGTCAGCTCAAGACCGTCGTTCTGGGCCCAATGGGAAAAAGCCTTCGTCCTGGGGATGTACCTGTGTGAAGAACCATTGGATGAGGAATCCAGAGTCTAGAAGCAGGAGTGACCATGGATATCACCTCCGCCCTCGTCACATAAGTAATCCTCCAGGGTCTGGAGCCTCCTGGGCACATTCCTTGACGAACGCCCCTACCGTACGGCAGACTCGTGTCGTGACGCCTTGCGCACTGCTTCCATGCACTGCGTGGATCGCTCAGGCTCCAGCGATCCTGAGATCCTGGCGTCTCAACATGTTCGAGCCAGGCGTTCTCGCCCTATGTCGGGCCCCCGGGGCCCTCGCAGATCGATCCGGCTCGACACGTGGCGCAAAAGGATGGGGTCTGGGGCTCCGGTTGCGATTTCCTACGATGTTGCATTTTTTCGTCACGTCGGATCTCAGGGGCTCGCGGCTTCGGGGTCCTCGCAAACCATGGCCCGAGGCATGTGCGCGGACGAGGGGGAGGGAGCGGCCTAAAAATCCGAGGAGGCACTATGGCCCCAGCCATGATATCAGCACACCTCTAGCAATCATCCCCCTCCTGGGCGCCCCCGACCAAAGCGCGGATCGTTCGACATCCGCCGAATTTCGGGCCGCCCGCGACGTCGGCCCCTGATGTCCGACGACGCGAAAAACCGGTAGATCGCGACCCACAGGGAGGGGGCTCCAGCGCAGATCCAAGAGATCCGCGCGGAGCTCCGCAGGTGTATGTTTACGCAGCCTTCTCCTCCTCGGAACATCAACTCGTCTCGACCCCTCAAAGAGGATGCCCTTTCTGGAGCGCCTCGCGCGCTTGCCGACCCCTCGCTCTGTTCCCTGTGGGGGCGCACCCCTAGCGACTCCCCTCCCTCAGGCTAGCACGCCCCCGGCCAGCCTCGCCGAAACCCAGCCACGGCACGCGCGGCCGCGACGGCCCAGCGGGGGCGCTGCTGGCGGCGCGCACAAGGGGGTAATTAGGTGGAGAGGGGGGAGGCCTCGCAGGAAGCTGCTTCCTAGAAGGCGCTGGCCCTACATCTACAGACAAGGCCCACGCCTTCGAAAGGGCAGGGGCGCGTCTAAGAAGCCTTACCCCTCCCACTGCCCCCCCCTCTGCGCCTGGCCGACGGTGCCGCAGGAGAGCGCCCAACCGCCTTGAGACCCCCAGCGTGGCAATGTTTGCGCAGCGGGTGATTTGGCCTTGCTCCAGGCCGCGGGGCCCTCGCGGATCGATCCGGCCCGAAAAATGCAGCAGAAAGATGGGGTCCAGGGCCGCGGTGAAAGTCTTGCGCACGATGTCGCACTTCGTTTGTGGCGTCGGACCTCAGCGCTCCACGTGGCCTCCACCAGGCTCGCTTTGGACTGGGGTCCTGGTGCAGGATGACAAGGAACAGCACAAGCGTGAGCTCTCGGAGGTCTGCGCGGAATTGTTGTGTCGGCGCTGGGTCTCACTTCCCGCCACCCCTTACCGCGCCTCCGGCGCCGCCTCTGACGCACAAAGCGCGCCAGGGAAGAGGTGTGGGACAGGGGGGGCCAGCGCCACCCCGAGAAAACCACGCGGACCTCCGAGAGTTTACGCTTATGTCGTATGTCGTTATTCAAATTTTGCACCTCGCTCTGGCCCGGAGCCGATATCCAGCAAGATCTTGCCCAAATTGGTTAGGTCCATGAAACCTTTCTATGGATTACGCACTTTCCCATCGCCCGAAGGAAGTCAGCTGTGAGGGCCTCTGAAGCTGGGAGGGCTGAGTTTCGTCAGGACTCGTCGTGAAGGTAGGGGAACACTCGGTAATCGACAGGCGGGATGAACTGCCCCTCTGCGTCTTGGAAGAACCTGCGGAAGCACTGGGCGCACCAGAAGCTCGGGTTGTATGGGCACCTGGTGGAGTCTAGGACCACCCATATGGCCAGGTGCTGCAGGCAGGCAAAACACCGGCGCTTCACATATCGCCGCATGAAAGTGAGCAAAGGGTAAGCCTCGGAGAATGGACAATCGTCTCTGGGATGCACAAGCCTAGTGCCAGTGAAATAAATGTTGTGCTCTATATTACCTTGATGAATGTAGACGCAGACCTCGCCAAATGGGATATGTCCGAGATCACATAGGCGCACGTCCATGGACAGAGCCGTTTGAGATCGCAGGAAATTGGAATCTCTTGTCTCTTTCAGCCACTCGATGATCTCCACTGAATAATCCACGTGATTTGGATTTCGACGATCCACGTAAAAAAGACCATCAATAAAGAAACATGACGATCCCAACCGCGTGGGCCCGTCAAACATCCAGTCCGAAACAAAATAGAAGGCATCCCGGAGCTCGCACAGCGTCTGCGAGGCCAGCACGTCGAACTCCTGCTCCTTGCATCCCGACGCATTGCAGACGGCCACCGTGACTATCGCCTCCTCGGCCCCGACCCGCGGAACGCTGGCTGGGACGGCACTGGTGTCTTCCGGAGCACACCGAGTGGAGACGACGGCGGCTCAACATCCGTGCCCGGACCCCTACCGGGGCCCACGACGCGCTGCTCCTCCGAGCTGCGCCCCACCCTGGCGACGACGGGGCACCCCGAAGGCCACCGAAGTATCCCTTCGCCCTCCTCCGAGCCTTCCACTCGCCCGAACACCTCCGGGGCGTCGTCGTGAAAGAACACGCCCGTGTGCCGGGCCACCACCTTGCGGGTCCAGCGCCGGTGGGGGTCCCCGGCCACGGCGCTCCGGAGCAGGTGGACCACCCCGTTGTTCGTCCAGCTGCGGCGCCCGCTGGCGAGCACCAGGCGGCCAGACTCGGTCCTGCGGGCCTTGGCGGCCCTCTCCCGCCGCACCTGGAAGACGTTCTTCACCGGGGCCACCTCCTCTGGGGAATCCAAGAGATACCCATACCGCCACTCCCCAGGGCGAAGCCAGACAGGGCGACGAGAGCCTCCCAGGAGGCCCAAAGAGGGCGCAAACGAAGGAAGGATAGCGGCATCGGTAGCTTCCCCCCCTTACGTCGCCCCTTGGCTCTCAAGTCATAACTCAGCTCTCCAGCGGCCGTTCGGGGCGCTCTGGGCACCACTGGAACGCTCGCGGCGAGGTGCAGCTGCTGGAGAGCATCCCGAGGCTAGCAGGCCGCCGGGAACCTGCGAAAACGCCCAGATCCCCCTCCCTCCCCCCTCACGCGCCCCCCCCCCCCACGTCGACGAGGCAAGGCTGGCGGCATCCGCTGCCTCCTCCCCCCTCGGGTCCTCGGCCTCCTCGGCCTCCGGCGGGCCCTCCCGCGGCTGCGCCGCGTCCGCGGGGCGCTTCGCCTGCCCGCGGGCCTCCGCCGAGGGCCCGCCGTCGCCCGGGTGGCGGTCGGCCGGCGGCGGCTCCAGCCCGTCGGCCTGCAGGCGGGCGGAGATCATGGCCTCGATCGTCTCCTCACGAGCGGCGCAGAGAGGCCCCTCCAACCCTGTGGGAGGGTGCTGGGCCTGGTTCCCACCACCACCACAAGTTGGAGGGGGAGGGGGTCCGCCTCCTCCTCCTCCTCCTCCTCCTCCTCCTCCTCCTCCTCCTCCTCCTCCAACTTATGGCGGTGGTGGTGGAAAACAGGCCCATCAGAGGGGACCTCAGATAGGAGGGCCAGAAACCTTAGGAACAGGGTTTTTTTCTGCAAATGTGCCAGGCAGAAGCGCCCAGATGTCTCATCCCTGACGAAGACGGGGACCTCAGGGAGGCCAAGTCTTCATCGTGTTATTAGGGTTAGGGGCCATTATGTTCTCAACGACCTTATGCTGCATCCTCGGGGGGACCTTGTCTGTCCCTTCGCGGCCCTGTCCGCGTCGAATCCATGTCGGCCTTGTCGGATCCGTGTCGAATCCGCGTCGGATACACGCCAAATCCGCGTCGAAGCTGGATCGAGCCCGCGTCGGGCACGCAAAGACACCAGCTGTTGGGACTGGCGAGGCCCCCCGAAGATGCAACGTAAGAACATGTCTGGGCGGCGCGCCCCGAGGGGAAGTGAGAAGGAGAAGGGCCTTCTCAGGAAGGTTCGGAGGTCCCCCGGCCTTCTGAGAAGTGCTCCAAGCCTTCCCCGGAGACACAGGAAGCTTCTCGGAAGGCTGGCAGGCCTCTGAGAAGCCCCGCCGCCTTCTGAGAGGGCCTTCTCCTTTTCACTTCCCCCCTCGCTCAGCGTCGGATATCTGTCTCCCCGCCCTCGCGGTCGCGATCCCACAGATACGCGGTCGCATGGACACGTCTGGCCCGCGAAGCCGCGGATACGGATGTGTTTCGCCCTCGATTGTCTCCTCCTCCCTCGGCAGCCTCACCCCCTCGGCGCCGATGTTCGAGGAGCAGAACATGGCAGAAACATTAAACATTCGAGGGTCCGCGCGAATTTCTGGAATCGACCCTGGAGCCCCCTGGCGGCGCCTCTGGCACCGCCCCTGGCGCGCTCCGCGCGCCAGGGAGGGGGGTCCAGCGCCAATCCAAGAAATCAGGGGGTACCTCCGTAAGTTTGTCTGCAATCGGGAACTTTTGAACAGCGGGTCGCGGCGGCGGCCCCAGTGACACGCTATCCCTTCCGAGCGGACAGCGTGTCGCTCCACCCCGCTGGGCGGGAGACTCGGAAAAGCTCGGGACGTAGTCGCCACGGGGCCGCGAAGTGGAAAGTGTGTCGCGCCGAGGCGAGGTGGGCCAGAACCGACGGCGCGACACGCTGTCCGAAAAGTTCCCGACCGTGGATTGCACGACATAGCTCCCACCACGCAGCCTGCAACGCATCGCTTGCACGACATGCATTGCACCACCGAGCATACCAGAACACACTGCCTGGGGGCCCATGCGGGCTAACATTCGGCGGCGAGCCTGGGGGGGAGTGAGGAGGGGCGGGCACTCTCAGAAGACTTGGAAGTTCTCGGGCGTTCTGGAGAGTTTTGTCGAACGAAGCCTTCCCCAAAGACACTGCAAACTTCTCACAAGGCGCGAGGGCCTCTGAGAAGCGCCGCCGCCTTCTGAGGAGGCTCCCCCCTTCTCACCTCCCTCCCTCGCTCGCCGGGACAGGGCCACGTATGCGCCGATCCAAGAAATCGGCGCGCACCTCTGGAAGTTTGCGCCTACGGTGAGGGCATTGGGAAAGGAGCCATTGGAAAAAGGAAGCCAGGGTCTGGAAACCGATGGAAGTCCAAATGAGGCTACCGCCACCCTCATCAGAAAGGGAATCGAAACCCAACCAGCCCAGCCAGCCCAACCAACCCAACCAGCCCAACCACCCAACCAGCTCAATCAGCCCAACCAGCCCAACCAGCCCACCCCGCAACCCCAGCCAACCCGCCAACCCGCCACCCAGCCAACCCGCCCACCCCCGCCGCCTGCCCTCCGTCACCGTCGAGAGGGGTGGGGAAGTGTTTCTTGCCAGCGACAACCCACAAAAAATCACCCTCCGGGGAACCAGCGAGACAGCGGGGGAGGGCAAATCGCAACGTACTGTGGGGGAGGGGGATGCGCGCCCGGAGTCGCCAGGGACGGTTTTGGGCCTCAAGTGCGACACCGTCGTCACTTTTCAGCCCCCGCGAGAAGCTTCTTACAGGGCCCACAGAGGCTCCAGGAGGGCCCATGGCGGCCTCGTACGAGATCTCAAGAGGCCCCCAGGAGGACCCACTCTGCACCGCGCCAATGTTGTCAACGGACAGGCTCCCGTCCGTGAAACTGTCTTTATTTTGACGCCCCTGCGAGAGGCTTCTGAGAGGGCCCACGGAGACTCCAGGAGGGCCCATGGCGGCCCCGGGGGAGCCCACGAGATCTCAGGAGCCCCCGGAGGACCCACCTTGAATCATACTCAGGAGGTTCCAGAGGGCCCAGGGGGCTTCCAGAGGCCCCACAGAGCCCAAACAGGCCACAGGACTCCCTAGGACGCTCCAGGAGACCCAGGGCGACGCCAAAAGACTCCAGGGCGAGCGTGATTCCCTCTCCTCCTGCTCGTCGTCGTCATCATGCCCCTTCTCCTCCTCCTCCTCCTCCTCCTCCTCCTCCTCCTCCTCCTCCTCCTCCTCCTCCTCCTCCTCCTCCTCCTCTACCTCATTGTTGGCTCCGATGGCGCCGTGCGCGAGAGGGAACCTCGAACGCAAGCATTTTCTCAACGGAAAGGCTCCTCAACAAGTAGTCTGCGTCCAATTGGTTTCTACCCCCGCGAGGGGCGTTACAGGGCACTCCAGGGGCCTCCTGGGTATACTTCTGAACGAACTCCACCACAGTATGCCACCTTCGGCTCCTCGAGCTGTCGGGGGGGGGCCCGCGGGGCGGCGCGCCCAGCCGCGCCAGGGCTGCGGCAGCCCGGCCACGCCACGCGCCGAGCTCCTCGGGCTGCCGCCAGGCGTGGGAAACCATGCGCTGCCTGTCCGCCTGGTCGGGCTTGCCCCACACCCTGTACCTTGTTTGGGTGTGGGCTACGGTGAGGGCATTGGAAAAAGAACCACCGGATTAGGAAGCCAGGGTCTGAAAACTGGCTCAAGTCCAATTGAGGCTTGGCTATGGCTGTCACCACCATCCTCTCCAGATAAGGAATACTCCAGGGTCTGATGCCTCGTGGGCACAGTCCTTAACGAACGCCCCCACCGTAATCAGAGTCAAGCGCTACCTCCTTTGCACTACATCGCACGGCGACGAGTGGGAACAGAACGGGGGCCCGGAGAGCGAGAGATGCAAGGGACAGGGAAACGACCGAGGGAGGAACCTGGGCCCGAAAACCACGCAGGGACAAAGGCCAAGCAAGGCAATCAATAGCAGCAGTCGCTCCACAACACCCTGTGCCCAAGGGGGGACCAAAACTGGGATCGCCGCCGGGGTTGCTAAGGGGATAGGGGGATGTCTGAGCGGATGCGAAGGCGGTTACATCTGGCCCGTGCTGGCCTTTATAATTGTGTTACACATGCCCCAGGTGGCCCAGGGGGGTCAGATATCTGAGCTAAGTGGGATCTGCCCACTGATTGGAATCATAACCCCCTTAGCCACTCGGGCCACATGCACCCCACTTATAAGCCAGGTTAGGCCATATATGACCCCAGGTCGAGGGTTCACAGCCCCCCTCCAGATGGGATGGGCCCCAGGGCTCCACAGCGCCACCCACCCACCCCCAGATGGGATGGGGGTGGACGACGACGACGACGACGACGACGACGACGACGCCGACGCCGACGCCAACGCCGACGTCGACGCCGACGCCGACGCCGACGCCGACGCAGCCGCCGCCGCCGCCGCCGCCGCCGCCGCCGCCGACGACGACGACGACGACGACGACGACGACGACGACGAGCCACCCTACACCCACAGGGGGAGGGAGGGAGGGTGCACCAGCACCCTCCCACTGCGCCACGCCCACATGGCAACGACAGCAGGGGGAGGGAGCGATCCCACTCGCGAGGCCTTCGCGAGGCTCACGGGCGTACCCATCCAGCGGGGAGGGGGGGCTCGATCACACATGCATTGTGGGGGGGGGGGGGGGGCAACCCTGGATCATGTGTATGTATATGTATATACATATATACAAGACTGCAGTGGCGCTTCGCGCCATGCACCTTGGTCCTTGAAGTTTGGCATGCAGGCGGAATAGCAGGAAGGTCAAGCCGACAATTTAGAGATAACTCCTTGTTGCCTTTTCTGGCATCCTTGCTATAATGACGTTATTCGTTATACTTCCTCCATGCTTCTTTTTCCTTATTTTCGCCGTACCCTGCGCAGTCTCCCCATCCTCCTCAGCTCTTTTTTGCGGAGGCTCCTCCTTGGAGAGCCTCTGGGGTTGTTTCAGGCTTGCTTAAGGCCTTCTGAAGGCCTCCTGAGCGTATTCTGGGGGCCTCTGGGGACTTCCTCGGGCCACCCTGCCTCCAACCGCGGTCTCCCTGAACGACTGGGTCACGATTTGGAATGCTTCGGAGGGTGTCTTGGGGCCATCTTGGGCCGCCATGGGGCTCTCTGAGGGCCATCTTGGACCCGTGTTGTGCCGTTTGGGGGCTCTCTTGGACTGCCTGGAAGCCCTTTTGGATGGTTGTGGGGCGATGTTGGAGCCTCCCAGGCGGCTTCGGACGCCCAGAAGACCGCCGTCTTGGAGCGTCGGGAAGCCGAAAAGAGGAGAACCCCAAAATTCAGCAAAAAACCATAGAAGATCAAAGAGTTGTGCCTCTTGGGGCCTTCTTGGGAGTGCTCTTGGAGGCCTCTTTGAGGCCGTCCTGGAGGCCTTTTGGGCCATCTTGATGTCACTTCGGTCACTCTTGGAGCGCTCTTGTGCTGTCTTGGGGGTCTCTGGGACGTCTCCGATGACCCCCCTGATCGCCCTAGGTGTGCTGGGAAGGCTTGGCAAAACGCCCTGCGAGGCCCAGGGGGCCGCTTCGAGGCCCGTCTGGAGGGTCCCAAAGCCCCAGATCCCGGGAGTCCGGTTTTGGGGGGGGGACGGGTTTTCCCCCCGCCCGGGCTTGTAAAAATATAGGAAAAGGAATAAAATAATGTGTGTGTGTGTGTGTGTGTGTGTTTGTTCTGGCTTCCGCTTGTACCCCCCTTTCCGCTTAGCAAACCCCGCAGTCATCCACGCGGGGGGACCAAGAGGTACGCACACCACCACTCCCCGGACCCCTCCCGGGGCGACTTCTGACTCCATTCTCGAGGAGAGGCCAGCCGTGGCGACGCGGGCTCTCCAGGACGAGCAGCGGCATCGGCACCATCTCTAGAGGCCTCCCAGATGGGGTCCGAGCGCGGATGAAGCCGGGCTCGACATCGAGCCGCATCGGCGGCGCCTCGGCGATGCGGCGCGATCCTCCGACACCACCTGCTCGGACCCCACCCGGGAGGCCTTCTGCCTCCGAGCACCTCCTCCCATGCGCCAGGGGCCGCCCGCCAACAGAGCCCGCCGTGGCTGCCGCAGGCGTGTCGCGCGCGACCACCGGGCCCGGAGCGGGGTGCCCTCGCCCCTGCGGCTCGCCCCCCGGCACCGGCACCAGGGCGGAGGAAGCCTGCACGTCCTGAATGGCTCGGGGAGGCGTAGCTCTCGTCGGGCGCGGCCTAGCCGGCCCCTTCCGTGACGTTCCCCCCGCCCTCCAGGCCTCCCTCCGGCCGCCTGCGTACGTCTTGGGGTGAGGCGAGGGGGACGTCACGGGAGGGCATGGTTTGCTAGGGGTCGGTCAGACCGCCCCTGAACTCGGGTTCGGAGGAATCGGGTTGGCCTGACGGGGCCGTCAGGAAAATGACGAGACCCAGTCTGCAATTCGATGCGAGCTCCCACTGCAAACATTCCCCGATAACTGGAAGCTCAGAATCTGGGACGGGCTCGTCACAGAGCGGCGGCAAACCCCGAGTTCCGGCGAGCTCGAGTCTTACGCTTCTTCGAGTGGCGCGCTCCAGGAGGCCGTCCCCGTCGGACGCCTCGCCCGGTGCCTCCACTGGCAGCGAGGCCATGTGGGGCGCGAACTGCGGGAAGGGGCCACAGAGGGGGAGAGCAGCGCACGCACCGCCTGGTAGCGTCCGCACCCGCAGCTGCTGAAGACCTGCCCTGGAGACGGGTGGGCGTACCAAAATTCCACTGGCCCTCTGGGCGTAGGTGGTCTAACAGCACTGGTTTCTCCTCTCCCGAAGCCCCCTCTTCCTTTTCGAGGAGGGGTACCCTTCCCCCCACCCCTCGCTGAGGATTTTTGCCCCCCCCCCCCCCCCCTCCCCCGCCCCGCGATGTGTCAGAGGGTCCTGCGAGGCCCAAAATGTCTCCAAGAGGATTTTGTATGGTTCAAGATGGGCTCGGCTCGAGATAGCCGGCCGTAGATTGTTCAAGATGGCTTCCGACGTGCCTTCAAAAGGCCCCAAGAGGACCACAAGACGGCTCTTTGTGCTCTCGGAGCCCCCTATCAGGACTTTCCTGAGAGGCCAAAATTCCTCGAAAGACGTCTTACAAATTGCGTGTGCCCTCCTGTCGTTTCGCGTCCGATGCCGCTTTTGAGGCCCGAAGGTGTCCCCAAGATGGCCAAAGAAAGCCCTAAAAGGGGCTCCCGACTGCCCTTAAGACGGTCCCAAGAGCACCCAAGAGCACCCCAAGAGGGCCCCAAGAAGACATCAAGATGCGATGCTGAGGGCTCGTGGGGGGGGGAAACTTCAATCGGGGACCCCCCTTTTGGTCGACGTCCTCCAAGATGGCCTCAAGTGGCCTCCAGGGCTCCCAAAGAGGCCCCGAAGAGGGCTCCAAGAGAGCCCCGAGACCTTCCAAAAGAG